ATTGCAAACTACTGTAGGCAAGCTATGGATGCAAATGACTGAATATTCTAATGACAAAGTGATGTCAATGTCGGTTCAGCAATATTGCTTGCATACACACTCTATAGTTTATGTACAACTCCATTTTGGGGTTTTAACTTGAATATAAGTATCATTTCTTATTTTATTTGCTATTGTTATTATTATTATTGTTATTACTATTGTTTTACTGTTTTTCTTTTCTTAGTTTACACTATATAATTTCTGTATAAGAGAGGGGCAATCTGCAGTTGTGCTATATAAATATAAATAATATTATTATATTAGTTTATCTCTGTTGTCAATGTTTAGTCAATTTAATGTTTGCATCATGGAGTGTCTTAATTTAAAGATACAATCATATTAAGTTCTTACCTCTGAATCAATTTGTGTGTTGACTGGTAGAAATGGAGATGTACCTGTTGATACCTATGTGGGCGTTTTCTGAAATTATCAGAGTGAATGTTAAATTTTATTTACATGTTTATAAATTAGAGTAACTGGTTGAAGAACCCTCAGTTCCTTCCTAGCCTTAAACATACATAATTTATTTGTGAAGTTTTACAGAGTTTTTACCCTATAGTAATGAAAAAAATTACTCTAATTATTAATTAGATGGAAATGTAGAACAATGCTACAGAAATATTCAAAGACCCATAACCCATAAATAGGCCTAGCCTAATTTCTAGGAAAATCAGTTTTCCATCAGGAATTTAATGTATCATTTTTTTGCTAGGTGTACCAATCAGAATTGTTCAGATACTGATATAAAACTCAAGAAACAAATTGAGCCCTTTAAACCTGTAACGCTGTTAGTGTTACAATATCAATACCTATTGCCTCTTAGACAATAGACACAACAAGGGTAGGCTACGCTACAGAAGTTTTAAACCCTTTTGGGCCTGGTAGCATGTAATAAAATCATCATCATGTGATATTATCCTCCAAGTCATCAAGCAAAGTGTATATTCAATAAAAAAAAAAACATAAAATACCTTGAAAGCTTTAATTCACTTTAATGCAGTAGATAAATGACATCTGTGCACTGCATATCATTTTCTACTGTACAAGGAGGTTACAATAGTGTACTTGAACTGTGGAAATTCCCTTACGACTATTTATAGAGTGCTCACAGACAATGTTGTAAATAAACATGGCTGTCAAACACAATTGGCCATACTAAAGACTAGCATAGAGTGCTCACAGACAATGTTGTAAATAAACATGGCTGTCAAACACAATTGGCCATACTAAAGACTAGCATAGAGTGCTC